CAGGAAGGAAGTATGCTGAAATTCATGCAGTGTGTTAGGATTTTCTTATTTTTTATTTTGCAAATTTGATATAGTGGGTATTTATTAATATTATGAAATAAGTTTTACATAAAAATTTTTACTTCTAAGAGAATCCTTGGAGTCACTTATTTGGGTAAAGGGATCTTCCATGACTATAGATACTTATAGTGGGTTAAACCTTACTTTTATTTGCACTTTGTATCAAGGTAGCAATTACCAGTCAGCAGAAATTCCTGGGTTTATTTATGAATATGTTGCCAACTATAAGCATCTGAGGCCACTCTCATTTATGAAAGAGGACTGTATTCAAAAGAATTTCTCAGCTAATCTATATCAATAAGCTAATTTACCCATGCTCCCTGGGTAACTCTAAAGAAGGGATAATTACTTTTATCTTCATTGAGTCAGAATCTGTTTTAAAGACAGAAATCTGTCCTTGTCGTTTTTAATGAGAACTTTCTTTTGATTTAAAGCTCCCATACTTTGGATAACACATGTGTGGCTCTCAGACTCAGACCAGGAAAGATTTTGAACCAGACTCCTCACCTTTTTCTATATTTGATATTCCCCACCTGGCAGAACAGCACATGAAGAGATCCCAGGCCCCTACACCTTGTAGGATTTTGACAGTTACTCATATATTTACTGAGAACGTAAGCAGTTGGAACGAGAGGTCCACTTGGTGAGAATTAGTTTCAGCTTTTACATAGGTTGAGGTTTCCTTGGTCTGATTGGACAGTTTGAACAGAGCTTAAGGCTTTTCTGCTACTGAGTGTATGGAAAGAAATAACTTCAAGATTCCCTAGATCATCATTCTTCCAAATGCTTTACTGAGAATTTCCCTTTATCACATTGCTCCTTTAACATGTGGTCAACATGTGAGAAAAAGTAAATACATAAATCTCATGTGTAGGCCGACACCGCGGCTCACTAGGCTAATCCTCCGCCTGCGGTGCCACTTCTCTGGGTTCTAGTCCTGTTTGGGGCGCCAGATTCTGTCCTGGTTGCTCCTCTTTCAGTCCAGCTCTCTGCTGTGGCCCGGGAGGGCAGTGGAGGATGGCCCAAGTGTTTTGGCCCTGCACCTGCATGGGAGACCAGGAGGAGGCGCCTGGCTCCTGGCTTCAGATAGGCGTAGCGCATGGCCATAGCAGCCATTTGGGGGGTGAACCAATGGAAGGAAGACCTTTCTCTCTGTCTCGCTCTCTCTCTCACTGTCTAACTCTACCTGTCAAAAAAAAAAAAAAAAATTTCATGTGTCTTTCTAGGGTGGAAATGAAAACCTGAGCATTGCCAAAGAGAAATTTTAAGTGAAGGATTCTAAAAGGGGTTATACTGGCCTAATCTGTTTTCTGGCTTGCTTGCATTTATGTTTTCTAAATCTTTTTGAAATTTTAGTAAATAACTAAAGCAACCAGTTTTATAGGTAATGCTTAGTGAGCACTTACTATGTGGTAGGAATTATTTTATTTAACTTTTGCAATAATCAGATGAAGTAGTGACTATTAATTCCTTGTTACTGATGAGGAAACACGTTCAGAGAGGCTGCATACTTGTCTATGATTTCATAGCTACTCTAGGTGGAGTTGGATTCACACCGTCTGGTCTCCCACTGACACTGCCTCTTACTCTCAGAGTGACAGTTCCAAACCTCTTCAACCAGTATGTGGAACCCTTTCAGTGATCAGTTGCTTCTGTGCACAGCGATGACTGATCTAACAACAAAACCTCTCCCAGCTCTACCACAATATTCTGATGGCAGATACATCATGGTTTGTTTAGTGGTTATTTGCAGAAGTATGATCACCTGGAGGCCCTAGGATAACAGTATAGCATTTTTCTCTGATGAAAGGTATTGTTGATTTATTTTATAATTTCCTAAAGTACAATTAGACTCTTTTTAAAGCTCTTCTTTCTAATTATGATGTTTGACTCAGCTTTTTAAAACAGCTTTTAAGGTCAATATTTTCCTACCTTTTTTCTTTGTCTTTAACTGAAAAGTATACATCCAAATAAGAATATATATATATAGTATCTGTATTTTTTAAAGAATGGCATTAAATAAATGCATCATATCCTCCTTGGCCACATGTCCAGCCATGCAGGCTGTGGCCCCTGAATGTCATCCCTAGATCTGTGCTATGCTCAGCTTTCAGGACCATACAAGTCAGCTCTGTGTCTACTACTCAGCTTAGGAAGTGGACATTACTTTAAAGTTTTCCTATGCCAACCCCACCCTCCTTATTCCATCACCTTGAGGTAAACAGAGCCTTGAATTTTATATTATTCCATTGTGTTTTTCATAATTTTACATCAGGTTAAAACAGTAGTTTTGCCTGTTTTTCAAAATCTGTAGTTGAAAGTATGCAATTATCCTTCAGTTTGTCTTCAGTTACTTGGATTTTTTCCTCAACATGGCTTCCCAGATTCATCTCTGATGCAAATTGCTGTAATTCATTCAAATTTATTTTTCTCTTTAGTCTTATGTCACATAAATATCTAACTTACTAATTTATTGTTTTGAACTGGAACACTTATATTTGTCTAAGTCCTGTCTCTTAATATTGAACAATGGGGATTAAATTTCAGCTTGAGTTTTGGTATGGACATTCAAACCATGGCAATATCACTTTTAGTTTTACTGTTAAAAACTATACTGTTATAAACCTTATACCCTTCTGCTAGTACTGGTGTGCCAGAGATTTTTGAGAGAATATGAGTGTAATCAGCACCTAGCCTGTAGGGCAGGTGCATATTCAACTTTTTCAAGGGATGTATGGTTGCCCTACCAAGCAGCTACCTTGATTTATGTGCTCAACACACTGATAATCATCAGTTTTCAATTTGTGCTAAAGTGGTGCGTAGCTAGTGTTTAATGCTTTGTATCCCCACTTACTAATGTGACTGAGCATGTTTTCATCAGTTATTTGCCACTGATGCTTTTCTATAAAATTATTTTTCTTTCTTGGGTTCTCTCTTGCCTATTTTTCTCTTGAGTTGTTGGTTTTTCAAATGTTCTAAACGATTTTTGGGAGCTTTTTGTATTTTGTATCCTGTTGTCTATTAAAAAACATATATGCCCTTAAATATATTTATACATATATATTAAAATATAATCAACATTTGAATTATTCTTTTCATTTTCCTTGGGATAGTTTTTAGTAAAGCAAAATTCTTAATTTCTGCTGAATTTATCAGTCTTTTAATTTGTGGTTTATGCTCTCCAGGTCTTTTATTTAAGATTTATTTATTTGAAAAGAGAGGCAGATATAACTACCATTGCTGGCTCATTCCCCATGGACCACAATAACCAGGATGGGCCAGGCTGAAGCCAGGAGACTGGAACTCCATGTGGGTCTCCTACATGAATGGCAGGGACCAAAGTAGGGACCCAAGACTATCTTTCACAGCTTTCCCAGACATACTAGCAGATAGCAGGATTGGAGAAGGAGTACTTGGGCCTTGAACCAATGGTCATGGGATGCTGGCATTGCACGCTGTGGATTAATCTACTGTGCCACAACACTGGCTCTGTCTCCTCAATGTCTTATTTAATTAGTTATTCCCTTGCAAGATATTAAAGATAATTTTCTATAACTCCAAGTTTAAAGCTTTTGCCTTTCATAATTCTGTCATTAATTTATCAGGAATTGAATTTCAATATTTTTTAAAATATTTCATTAAAACTTTTTGCATTTCCATATTTTAAAAAAGATAATGTCTTACTAAATATAAAATGAAATACATCAAAAGCAAGCCTGGCTTCTATTTGTGACTCCTGATTTTCTCTATTAAAAATTGTACTTTTTGCTTTTTTTTTAAAAAAGATTTGTTTATTTTGAAAGAGTTACAGAGAAAGAGGGGGAGAGAGAGAGAGAAAAAGACACATCTTCCATCTGCTGGTTTACTGCCCAGGTGGTTGTAACGGCCAGTGCAGGGCCAGGCCAAAGCCCAGAGCTACATCCTGGTCTCCCATGTCAGTGACAGGGCCCAAGTACTTGCGCCATCTTCTGCTGCTTTTCTCAGGCCATTAACAGGGAGCTGGATGAAAAGTGTAGCAGCTGAGACTCGAAACTTGCACATGTGGGAAGCTGGAGTCACAGGTGGCAGCTTTACTTGCTCTGCCACAGTGTCGGCCTCTGTTAACGTTTTGCTTTTAAAGGAGGAAGAAAATTAGGTGTTAGCTCCTTAGGTAATTATTTAATCTCATAATTTTCTTGGCAATATATCAATTTACATCTAGAATTCTCGAAGAGGGTAGAGAATTTTGAAGTGATTTGTTTTTCCACTTTAAACTAGATAGTGTTGGGGCCAGCGCTGTGGCATAGCAGGTAAGGCCACCGCCTACAGTGCTGGCATCCTATATGGACACTGGTTCAAGCCCTGGCTGCTGCACTTCCAATCCAGCTCTCTGCTATGGCCTGGGAAAGCAGTGGAAGATGGCCCAAGTCCTTGAGCTCTGCACCCACGTGGGAGACCTGGAAGAAGCTCCTGGCTCCTGGCTTCGGGTCGGCACAGCTCCAGCTGTTGTGACCATTTAGGAAGTGATCCAGTGGATGGAAGACCTCTCTCTCTCTCCATCTCTCTCTCTCTCTCTCTCTGCCTCTGCCTCTCTGTAACTCTGACTTTCAAATAAAATAATCTTTTAAAAAAGAAAAAATTAAAAACTAGATAGTCTTAAACTATCTTGATTTTTTTCCCATGCTATTAAATGTGATTTTCTTATCAGAGGCTAAATTAAATTTAATGTATAGTTGCATTAAAGTAGCTGTGGGGTGTGACAATGAAGAAGATACAGTTATTACCTCTCATTTCAATTTTTCTTTTTTTTTTTGCAACTATGAAATAAATGGTCTTGAGGACATATGGATGCTAATTTTTCTATGTATAAATTAAGGAAGAAAATCAGTTGTGAGTCTATGTTGTGATTTATCTGTATGAATGCTTGATTCTGCATATCCTTAAGAATGTTGTGTTTCCAGGGGACCTGCCAGGGCCAGGACCATGGCTTATTTTGGGGAAGGAAAAGGACCCATCCACGTGGATAATGTAAAGTGCACAGGAAGTGAGAGGTCACTTGCCGACTGTATCAAACAAGATATTGGAAAACACAATTGCCGCCACAGTGAAGATGCCGGAGTTATTTGTGATTATTTTGGCAAGAAAGCATCAAGTAATGGTGATAAAAGTAAGTCATCTTCTGGGTTCCTAAGTGATTCAGAGACTGCTAACTTCCACTTTGTTACTACAGCTGTGCTTTGATAACAGAAGTCCCAAGCAACAGACAGCATATAGCGCTTGTTCTTTGTACAAGTGTTTGCCAGTCCCTGTGTAGGTGAGGCTTAAAGAGAGAGCAAGATGCAGGGGTAAGACTAGGTTTACAATACTTTCTAATCTCCGGGATTTTCATCCTAAATTAAAAAAAAATCTTAAAAAATTGTTTGAAAGATAGACAGATCTTCCACTTGTTGCTTCACTCTCCAAATACCCCACAGCAGAATGGTGCTGGGCCAGGCCAAAACCAGGAACCAGGAACTCAATTCAGTCTATCCAGAGGTGGCAGCAACACAGATACTTGAGCAGTCACCTGCTGCCTCCCAGGGTATGCACTAGCAGGAAGCCAGTATTGGCAGCAGAAATGGGACGGGAATGCAGTCACCCTGACATGGGATATGGGTGTCCCAAGTGGCATCTTAACTGCTGCACCAAACACCTACCCTACTGCTTTCCTTTTTACTTTCTCAGGCAATTCTTCATCATTTATTGTTTCTCGATAATAAAACTATCACATTTGTTGAAGTCCTTTGTGTTTCAGAAAGAAATGAACATATAGAGATGGATTAAAAAAGATACTTCTTTACTCTTACTAATATTCTTTTGTCATCAAAAGGAAAATATTTTAATTCAATTTCTATAAACTTTTTCACAGTTTATATACAATAAATATTAAAATATGCACAGATCATTAAAATTATAGTAGTATAACATTCTTAATCATTAGTTGGACAAAGGTATAAAAGTTTTACAAAACTATTATTTTCAGCAATACTGATACACACAGGTATTTCTTTCTTCCTTTGTTTTTTTCATTTTTTTATTTTTTCTGTTTAAATTTTAATTCCCACATATAAGGGAGAACACACAGTAATTGTGTTTCTATGTCCAGATTATTTTATTCAACATGATGTCCTCCAGGTACATCAAAATTGATGATAGAATTTCATTCCTTTTTATAGCTGAATAGTATTCCATTGTGTATATATACCACATTTTCTTTATCCATTCATCTGATGATAGCCACTTTGGTTGATGCCAAATTTTGGCTATTGTGAACAGTGCTGCTATAAACATGGTGGTGCAGGTATTTGTTTGATACAATGTGTTCATGTTTTTTGGGTATATACCCAATAGTAAGATTGCTGGATCATAAGCAATCTAATTCTAGTTTTTGAAGAAGTTGCCATGCTGTTTTCCACAGTGGCTGCACTAATTTACATTTTCAACAACAGTATATAAATGACCCCTTTCTTCAAGCTTACTAATATTTTAAGCAACAAGGATAATTTTAAAATGAATTTCAAAAAGAAAAGCCATCTTTTATAGATTTTATTCTTTTGAATTTAAACATATAAGGAAAATGATAAATAACCTTCTAGTACAGTACAATAAATAGATGTTTTGTTCTTAAAATAGCTTTTGAAGGCTCTGGGTACATTAAATTTTTTTAAGACTTATTTATTTATGTAATTGAAAGGCAGAGTCACAGAGAGGCAGAGGCAGAGAGGGAGAGGTCTTCCATCCTCTGTTTCACTCCCCAAATGGCCACAATGGCTGGAATGGGGCCAATCTGAAGCCAGGAACCAGGAGCTTCCTTCAGGCCTTCCATGCAGGTACAGGGGCCCCAGCATTTGGGCCATGTTCTACTGCCTTTTCAGGCCATAATAGAGAGCTAGATCAGAAATGGAGCAGCCAGGACATGAACAGTGCCTATATGGGATGCTGGCACTGCAGGCAGAGGCCTTACTTGCTATGCCACAATGCCAGCCCCAAACATTAAATTTTTATGAAACAAATTATTTAAATGAACAAGTGGGATTCGGAATTAGCTATGTTGGATAAATTTGTCATTATTTATAGAAAGAATAATCAACTCTGTCTGCATTGAAATTTCATAGTTTTAATATATTGGATTTTCTTAAAATCAGGTGCATCTGTATTTGAACATTATGCTTTTTAAACACCTTTTAATGACTGCTAAAGCAATGTAATAAGTGAAGTAGATGTTGTTAATATGATTCTTCATGGCTTGACAGACTTTTAAATGTGGAAGGAACACTTATAACTCTTTATGTTTTGCTTTATGTTCTATTCATCATATGTGTATGTGTATTTGTCTGTGTATGGGAGGGACTTGATAAGCCTGTTTTCTCTAAATATGTATATTGATTACAACTTAATTTATTAAATTCTTATTACAACTTGAACATAACTGATTCCTTGAATTATGTCAGATTCTTAAGCAGTTGAAAATCATAAAGACTCAATAGCTGTGAAATAGTTTCATACACTTTTCTATAAACCTACTCTAAAATATGAGATAGCAAGGATTTGTGTTTTTCATTTTCTATACATTTGGTTTTATGCCTTTACAGAGTTGAAGTATTCATTATTTTGATATTTTTCCATGGTTACAGAAATGCTGCCATTTATCACCTAAAAAATTTTCACTTCAGACTAGCCACATGAAAGAATTTGACTTATTCAATAGTTGCCTTTATGTTGCTTCTGAGGATCTGGTGACTTCTGTAAGGTCATTTGTACTCAAGCCAGTGGTGATTGGTCATCTGATGGGATCCTTTTATAAATGAACTTCATTTTGCTTTTTGTTCTTTTAACAATGCATGGCTTTAAGTAGATTTTACTTTCTTACATTCTAGTGCTTTGCTCTATAATAATATCAACTTTAAGTTTTGCTTGCTCAGTATTACATCATTCCTTTTCTTGGCATCATATATATATATCAACTTGACTTGAAGCATTATTGGAAACTTGTGTTCTTCTAATATCTTATAATTTGCAGTGTCATCTAAAAGGAGTTGTATCCTAAGATATGAAGGTTAAAGCTTGATGGAATCCCTCTGAGATCATTTGGCAAATGAATCTTCTTGGTACACATTGTTGAACATTTTTCTCCATCAAGAAACTACTACTGATTCTCTATTGATCTCCCTTCTACCTAGTTATTATGGGAAAATATTAGTGCTGACTGGGTTTTCATATTCTTTGCACTATTCCTATCTTTCCCTAAAGGATGAAATACAGAGCATATCTATGCTTTATATACCTCTGTTTAGCCAAAGGAACAAAGTTCCCTCAAATAGATTCTCCTCTGTAAAATTGTTTGAAAAATGTTATGCCTTCTTTATAGTCACTCCTCTTTTGTGCACCACTTTCTCATACATTTTTAATTTAACCTGTCTCTTTTATAGTTCTTGGCAGAAGACTCTTGTCTTGGGAACTTGGTTTATTTACCCTCAAATACAGTTTGCCACATGAATTGGCTTGGCAAACCCTTTCTTGTATGTTACAACACTGTAAGAGTACATGTAAATTCACATTAGGATTTAATCCTAGGAATATGCTTTGCTCCTCTGTATTACATTTTTAATAATAATTTTGAACATTACTGCCAATGTAGTTCTCTTTTTTTATTTAATAATCCTAAATTCCAAATAGCCTCTCCAGGCAATATCAGGTGATACAGATGTCTACCAGGTGTACTGAATAGGGTGAAACTATTCAGCCATACATGAAACCTCTCAGAGACGAGTGACAGAAAACCTCATAAGGTTTCTCTACTGCTTGCAAATCACTGTCATTTGGTGAAAGGGGAAAACTTTTAATTTTTATTATGAGAATAATTATTCTATTATTTGCAGACAGTTGGCACTTAAAATTAGAGGAAGAAGCATGAGGGGAGTATATCACTTAGGTTTTTACCCCTCTACAGCAATTTGATGGTTTAATTAATGACCTATTTCTGCTTCAGAGTCCCTTTCATCTGTTTGTGGTTTAAGATTACTGCATCGCCGGCAGAAGAGGATCATTGGTGGGAAAAATTCTTTAAGGTAAGGTGGTCTTCAAAGAAGGTTTCCATATTACACAATTACTTATATATATATATGGTGTTACAAACTGAGGAATTTCCAGTATGTAAAGAATATGTTTTGCTCTTTTTATTGTCTAAATTACTGGTTTCACTGAGAATTTCATTGTTCTTGGACCTACATTTACTTTATATAAACCACTGGTTCCCTGATGTGTGTGACATATGTATTGCTGAAGTTATGTGGCAGAAGCAACAAATTTTAACAGGAAACCTTAAAATGTATAACTACAAAGATTCATTTAATTGAAAATATATTTGTTTCCAATTTGACTCATTTTAAGGACTTTTTTTTTGCTTTTGAATTTATTAATGGAAAGGCAGCACTTTGTTAAGTACTTCAGACCACTTAGGCAGGGAAGAGGAGAAAAATTACACTTCAAGTTATGAAATATGAGGAAAAATTACCAACCTGTTTGTTGAAAATAAGTGAGATGCATACAAATGCCTGTAAGCTGATAGGTGGTCTTCTGAGCTGTAGGGCCATCATTCTTAAAGCCTTCTTTTCCCCTTACTGCAAATCATACAAATCATTAGTCATTGCTTTGACTAGTGTTTTTTTTTTTTTTTTTTTGCCTCGATGAATGTGCGGCTCACTTTTTTCTTAGGGGTGGCTGGCCTTGGCAAGTTTCCCTCAGACTGAAGTCATCACATGGAGATGGCCGGCTCCTTTGTGGGGCTACACTCTTAAGTAGCTGCTGGGTCCTCACAGCAGCTCACTGTTTCAAGAGGTATGTGTCCACCTTGCCACACAACTCAGTTTGGTTTCTCTTCCAGTTCTTATAGTCTTTTCCTGCTCCACAGTACTGGGGTGTCAGAACCAGGCTCTAAACCTTTCGTGTCTGCCTACAGCACTGTGAACATAAGGGAGATGACGTCGAAGCAAAGAGAGCTCATAGGAAGTGATTTGCTACCCTAGTGGTTAAGTAGACTCTGGAGGGGAGGATGGATTTTTAGAAGGGAAGCAACTATATCAGTTATTCCTTCAGGAAAATATTGTAGGTGCACACATATTGCTGCAGAGGTAGAAGAAATGTAACATGATTTATTTAGGAATTCTAAGAAATAGGGAGTGTAGTTGAAGTGATGTGTGTATGTGTTTTTAAAGTTTTTGTCTTTGTCTTTTGTGTCTTTAAGATTTCTCTATTTGTACTTTCAGCAAAGTCAGGTTGCATCTATTTTTATCATTGTATTAACTGACTTTAACTACAGTAGAATACCTGAGAAATCTAACTTTATGAAGAGAAAAGGCTTATAACAGTTCAGTTTCAGCAGTTCATGTCTAAGATGGGGTGGCAGTGGTGGATTTTCTGCATGTGCGAGGAGGAAGGGTCACACCGTAATCAGGAAGCAGAGTAGTCTAGGCTTTTATAAACAACTCTGTCTTGAGAACTACCTTATTTTTTTTAGGGATTTATTTTATTTATTTGAAAGACAGTAGACAGTTACAGAGAGAGGTAGAGACAGAGAGAGACAGAGAGAGAGAGAGAGAGAGGTCTTCAATCCACTGGTTCACTCCCCAAATGGCTGCAACAGCAGGAGCTGAGCCGATCCGGAGCCAGGAGCCAGGAGCCTCCTCTGGGTCTCCCACATGGGTGCAGGGGACCAAGGACTTGGGCCATCTTCCACTGCTTTCCCAGGCACACTAGCAGGGAGCTGGATCAGAAGTGGAGCAGCTGCAACTCAAAGGGCACCCATAAGGGATGTCGGGGCTGGAGTCCAGGGCTTTAACTCACTGTGCCACAGCACTGGCCCCAAGAACTACCTTCCTTAACAATAATTTAAGTTTCTATCCTTTCAGTATCGTTAGCTTATTATAAATTTTGGAGTTTAAACATCTACATGAGTTTGGGAGCCAAATCATATTCTATTTGATTCAAATCAAAGCAGTCCTGATCATCCCCTCTTGTCCCAAATACTTTATCAGTCCATTGTGAAGTTTTCTCTGTTCAGAGGGAACCCATGCAGAGAAAATCAGTACAGGAGCCACAGAAAGCATGGTAGCAGAGCCTGCAATAGAACCTGACTCTTTTCTCCTTGTCCAGTATGTGCACTGTGGTTAATAACCATTGACTTAGCATTAATTTGGGTATGTGTTTTAAAATGTATAACAGTCTCTGACTAAATACTGGTCATTATGGAAGTAAAATGATGAGTACAAATAATCTCATTGTACCATTTTATTTTTTATGCTTAAAAGTGTCATAATAATGTTTTAAAATTTATACTATATTGTTGAAACATTCTTCCTAGCAAAATCTGATTTATATCTTTCCTTATGTGATATCATATGGTATTAGACTTGCTTCATTGTGTATTTTCAATCCATTTTTGAAGACTGTTCACTCTTTAACTGCCATATGAATTCTAACTCCTACTATAAAACTACACCAGTTTATTCCTCTACTGATGAATAAAGGTGATCTATATTCTTTTACTATTAAAAATATTGTGGTATATATCCTTGCACAAGTATCATGGAGTATGTACATTTCAGAGCATTTTGCTGGGACTCCCTTCAGTTTTTACTAGGCCTTTCCAAATTGCCCTCTAAAGTAATTTATCAGTTTAGATCATATCAATGTGTAAGTTCTTGTTTCCTTACATCTCTACCTAAATTTGATACTATTAAGGTTTTTAATTCTTGTCTTAAAAGTTTTGGGTTTCTTTTTAATTATGCTTCTTTGATTAATGTCTCATGAATTCTGTATTCATATCCTTTGCCTATTTTTCTGTTGGATTATTTATGCTTTTGTAGGTGTTTTTAAATTTTTTGGACATGTTCTGTGCACAGTCTTTGTTGTTATGTGTTACAGATATCTTTTCCTTGTCTGGGCCATGTTCTTTCACTTGTTTATAGTCTTTGTTTTAAGGAAATGTTTTTAATATATATTTAAATGTGTCATCTTTTCCTTTAGTTTTATAAAAGCCAGAAACGTCTTACTTTAAAAATCTTTCAGATATACTCTTATCTTTTTCCTAAACATTTATATTTTTCTTTTCTGGGGCTTCTAATGTTGATTTTTGAGTATACTATGAGTGTGAGGAAGGGATCTTATGCTATGCTTTTCTTTATGAGTAATTTCCCCAACATTTTAACTTGAATATATTCCATTCCTTATCCATTGATTTATGTTAAGTATGTCATATGCCAAATTCTCTTACATTCTTGTTTCTCCAATCTTTTTTCTTCTACTCTTCTATTTAAATATATAAGTGTGTAGTAATCTTCCATGTGTAAAGTGCTGCAGAGGATTAAAATCTACATTTTATATAACATTTGCAATTTATGGGATATAACTGAATTTGACAGTTTGCCTTTATTACAGTGAGTTTAACACATTCCTGTGTTATGCTATTATATTCAACTATTATCTTAATAATTATCCAGCCCCTAATATTCCCGAGCATATGCCATGCAGTAGAGATAAAGTGGAGAACAAGACAAGAGCCTTGCTCTCATAGAGTTTACAGTAGAGCTTTAGGAGCCCCTAGGAGGGAGACATTGATATTGCTCATATGACCAAAACAAGTGTAGGGTGCCATTTTAAAAAATCTTTTTATTTATTTATATACATATTTATTTAAAGCATTTTCAGAGAGGGAGACACACAGATACACACACACACACACACACACACACACGGTGTGGGGTGGAATCTTCCATCCGCTGCTTTTCTTCCCAAATGGCCACAACAGTTAGGGTGGGACCAGGCCCATAGGCGGGAGCCTGGAACTCCATCCAAGTCTCACATATAGGTGGCAGGAGCCCAAGCACTTGGGCCATCTTCTACTGCTTTCTCAGACCATGGTAGAGAGCTGGATTGAAGTGAAGCAGCTGGGTCTCAAACCAGTGCACATATCAGATGCCGGCACTGCAGGCAGTGGCTTTACCTGCTATGCCACAGCACCAGCCCCATGGGGCACCATTTTTAAAGTGCGGGATTTTCACCGTAATAATAGAGTCACTTAGATGGTCAGAAATTCAGGTTCTTGAAGCAGCATTCCACATTTGCTGAATCTCTGCAGCTGAGAGTTAGGAGTCTTAATTTTTATAAACCCTCTCCAGAGATTCTTATATGTACCAGAAGTTAAGACCCACTGGCTTAGTGGAAGAACAGTGTATGGCCTTGATGTTTGAAGAATGTTGATGAAGAAGAATATAATGGAATTGATACTAAATTATACTTGTTAGGCCGGCGCCATGGCTTACTTGGCTAATCCTCCGCCTGTAGCGCCGGTACCCCGGGTTCTAGTTCGGTTGGGGCGCCGGATCCTGTCCTGGTTGTTCTTCTTCCTGTCCAGCTCTCTGCTGTGGCCTGGGAGTGCAGTGGAGGAAGGCCTAGGTTTTTGGGCCCTGCACCCACATGGGAGACCAGGAGGAAGCACCTGGCTCCTGGCTTCGGATCGGCGCAGCACGCTGACCGTAGTGGCCATTTGGGGGCTGAACCACCGGAAAAAAGGAAGACCTTTCTCTCTGTCTCTCTCTCTCTCTCACTGTCTAACTCTGCCTGTCAAAAAAAAATTATATTTATTGCATGTTGCTTTGAATTCTATAGATATTAAAAGGAGCTAAGGTAATTTGTTATACTTGTTGCTTTTTTAAAAATAATTTCTTGTTAAACACTAGGACAGTTCAAAGATGGAATGGGGTGTATGTTGGAGGAAAAGAGTTCTGTTATGGATTTTAAGCAGAAAGAAGTGATCCCTGTAGAGGTAGAGCCTGGTGGTAGATAATTTCTACTCTTTATTTTATTTTAAGATTTATTTATTTATTTATTTGAAAGGCAGAGTTACAGAGAGGCAGAGGAAGAAGCAGAAACAGAAAGAGAGAGAGAGTAGGAAGGAGAAGGGGAGAGGTAGAGGGGGAGAGAGAGAGAGAGAAGTCTTTCATTTGCTGGTTCAGTCCCCAGATGGCCACAAAGGCCAAACCAGGATCCAAAACCAGGAGCCAGGAGCTTCCTCCAGGTCTCCCGTGCCAGTGCAGAGGCCATCTTCTACTGCTTTGCCAGGCCATACCGGAGTGCTGGATCAGAAGTAGAGCAGCTGGTACTCGAACTGGCACGCATATGGGATGCCGGCACTGCAGCCAGCAGCTTTACCTGCTGTGCCACAGTGCCGGCCCCAGTATCTATCTACCCTTTAGAGTATAGTGGTTAGAAAGCATAAACCATACTTGAAGAATAGCAGTTCTTACCTAGAATGTCAGATTTGAGATTTGTGTAGTCAACTTAGAGGTGAGAAACAACATGGGTCCACAATGCCAAGGTTATTAATTTGTTTCCTTCACTAGGCATTGAAGGTTTTTGTGCCTTAATATATGATCAAAGAAGATTTTTAGGAGATTATAATTTAGAGATGTATGGGATGGCTCTTTTGTGGTCAGGCAAAAAAATTAATCTATAGGACTATGAACGAGCTTAAAACTATCTGAAAAACTTTTGTATATGTACTTGCAGTCTTTAGTCTCTAGTGACTCAAATTGCTTTGTGTTATCATGTGATTAAGACCCACTATGGTAAGTAGACAGACTGTGAGGAAGGACCCTAATTTTATACATTTACACTGGAGGAAGACCACTAACAAGACTTCCCTATTAATAATAAGAGAACGTGGAAAAGTAAAGGAGGGAAAGAGGTAGAGGCACTATGGTAGAAATCATTAGAAGTTGGTATGATAAAACAGAAGGAGACTTAGATCTGGACAGTAGGGTTATAGTTTAACTTTGCAA